ACGTGGAACTTATATATAATTGCAGATAGAAAAAATAACAAAAAATAATTGATAGATAGATAAAATGACCACGTACATTTTGCTACATTATGAAAAACTTTATTATTATACGTAGAAAAACTTTATTATCGTCTCGAAAACAAAAAAGCACCAAGCAAGTTATTGAAACAGTTCTTAATGTGCAATTTTAATACCAGCATCAGAAAAAAAGCACTCATATTTTCGATTTCTCATGCCTTTTCTTCTAATGTGAGAACACCTATTCGTTTTTGAGATATATTGGTTGATGAAAAAATTAGGAAATTTAAGAAACCAAACTATATCTCAAAGTAAAAGGTTTCTCATATTTTCATTCTAACCTCAATATTCTATAGGAGCTCGGAAGTTACAAATATAAACAAAAAACATGCAAACCTAAAAAGTTTCGAAAAGTTTTTATCTATTAAGATAAATCTAGAACTGCTTACAAAACTTGAATTCTCGAATTTGGATCGATGGCTGGCTGGATGCCAAGTTGCCTAAATGAATGCCTGAATGGCTCGCTCGCAAGCTGATTGGATGGCTCGCCTGCAGGCTTTGGGCAGTCCTGCCTTGCGCTGTCCTCCTCGGCCTTGCCCTAATCTATCCTTTTATGCGCTGCTTTGCTTTGCATTGTCCAGTCTTGTCTTGACCTTCATTTTTGTGCCTTGCCTTGTCTGACAATGTCTCTTGCCCTTTCTAGGGTTGCCTTGCTTTGCTGCCTTGTCACTCCTTACCTTGCACCGCCCTGCCCTACCTCGGGCTTCTTTGCCTTGCGCTTTGCCCCTGCTTGCGCTGCCCTCTCCCTCTTTGCACCATAGTGCATTTAGCTGCCCTGCGCATCTTTCTTCAGTCCGGACTTGACCTGCCCAGCCTTACGCTGCAGTCTTGACGCAGCCTGTCTTATGCTTAGCTGCGTTGTCTTACCTATCGCTGTCATGCCTTGCGCTGCGCTGCTTGTCATTGCACTGCCCTGCCTCGGGCTTCCCTGCCTTGCGTTAACATGCTTTGGACTTCCTTACCTCGAACTGCCCTGCCCCGCTCAGCCTCTAACTGCTCACCTAATTTGGCCTTGCTCATCCGTAGCCTACCTTGCGCTGCCGCCTTGACTTGCGCTAGTTTGCCTTACATTAAGCCATGCATTCATCAACTGGAAAATCAACAAGCTTAAGCATGGCGAAAAACGTGGAACTTAAAAATAATTGCAGATAGAAAAAATAACAAAAAATAATTGATAGATAGATAAAATGACCACGAACATTTTGCTACATTATGAAAAACTTTATTATTATACGTAGAAAAACTTTATTATCGTCTCGAAAACAAAAAAGCACCAAGCAAGTTATTGAAACAGTTCTTAATGTGCAATTTTAATACCAGCATCAGAAAAAAAAAGCACTCACATTTTCGATTTCTCATGCCTTTTCTTCTAATGTGAGAACACCTATTCGTTTTTAAGATATATTGGTTGATGAAAAAATTAGGAAATTTAAGAAACCAAACTATACCTCAAAGTAAAAGGTTTCTCATATTTTCATTCTAACCTCAATATTCTATAGGAGCTCGGAAATGACAAATATAAAGAAAAAACATGCAAACCTAAAAATTTTCGAAAAGTTTTTATCTATTAAGATAAATCTAGAACTGCTTACAAAACTTGAATTCTCGAATTTGGATCGATGGCTGGCTGGATGCCAAGTTGACTAAAGGAATGCCTGAACGGCTCGCTCGCAAGCTGATTGGATGGCTCGCCTGCAGGCTTTGCGAAGTCCTGCCTTGCGCTGTCCTCCTCGGCCTTGCCCTAATCTATCTTTTTATGCGCTGCTTTGCTTTGCATTGTCCAGTCTTATCTTGACCTTCATTTTTGTGCCTTGCCTTGTCTGACAATGTCTCTTGCCCTTTCTAGGGCTGCCTTGCTTTGCTGCCTTGCCACTCCTTACCTTGCACCGCCCTGCCCTGCCTCGGGCTTCCTTGCCTTGCGCTTTGCTTTGCCCCTGCTTGCGCTGCCCTCTCCCTCTTTGCACCATAGTTCATTTAGCTGCCATGCCCATCTTTCTTCAGTCCGGACTTGACCTGCCCAGCCTTACGCTGCAGTCTTGACGCAGCCTGTCTTAAGCTAAGCTGCGTTGTCTTACCTATCGCTGTCATGCCTTGCGCTGCGCTGCTTGTCATTGCACTGCCCTGCCTCGGGCTTCCCTGCCTTGCGTTAACATGCTTTGGACTTCCTTACCTCGAACTGCCCTGCCCCGCTCAGCCTCTAACTGCTCACCTAATTTGGCCTTGCTCATCCTTAGCCTACCTTGCGCTGCCGGCTTGACTTGCGCTAGTTTGCCTTACATTAAGCCATGCATTCATCAACTGGAAAATCAACAAGCTTAAGCATGGCAAAAAACGTGGAACTTAAAAATAATTGCAGATAGAAAAAATAACAAAAAATAATTGATAGATAGATAAAATGACCACGAACATTTTGCTACATTATGAAAAACTTTATTATTATACGTAGAAAAACTTTATTATCGTCTCGAAAACAAAAAAGCACCAAGCAAGTTATTGAAACAGTTCTTAATGTGCAATTTTAATACCAGCATCAGAAAAAAAGCACTCACATTTTCGATTTCTCATGCCTTTTCTTCTAATGTGAGAACACCTATTCGTTTTTAAGATATATTGGTTGATGAAAAAATTAGGAAATTTAAGAAACCAAACTATATCTCAAAGTAAAAGGTTTCTCATATTTTCATTCTAACCTCAATATTCTATAGGAGCTCGGAAATGACAAATATAAAGAAAAAACATGCAAACCTAAAAATTTTCGAAAAGTTTTTATCTATTAAGATAAATCTAGAACTGCTTACAAAACTTGAATTCTCGAATTCGGATCGATGGCTGGCTGGATGCCAAGTTGACTAAATGAATGCCTGAATGGCTCGCTCGCAAGCTGATTGGATGGCTCGCCTGCAGGCTTTGCGAAGTCCTGCCTTGCGCTGTCCTCCTCGGCCTTGCCCTAATCTATCCTTTTATGCGCTGCTTTGCTTTGCATTGTCCAGTCTTATCTTGACCTTCATTTTTGTGCCTTGCCTTGTCTGACAATGTCTCTTGCCCTTTCTAGGGCTGCCTTGCTTTGCTGCCTTGCCACTCCTTACCTTGCACCAACCTGCCCTGCCTCGGGCTTCCTTGCCTTGCGCTTTGCATTGCCCCTGCTTGCGCTGCCCTCTCCCTCTTTGCACCATAGTGCATTTAGCTGCCCTGCCCATCTTTCTTCAGTCCGGACTTGACCTGCCCAGCCTTGCGCTGCAGTCTTGACGCAGCCTGTCTTAAGCTAAGCTGCGTTGTCTTACCTATCGCTGTCATGCCTTGCGCTGCGCTGCTTGTCATTGCACTGCCCTGCCTCGCGCTTCCCTGCCTTGCGTTAACATGCTTTGGACTTCCTTACCTCGCACTGCCCTGCCCCGCTCAGCCTCTAACTGCTCACCTAATTTGGCCTTGCTCATCCTTAGCCTACCTTGCGCTGCCGCCTTGACTTGCGCTAGTTTGCCTTACATTAAACCATGCATTCATCAACTGGAAAATCAACAAGCTTAAGCATGGCGAAAAACGTGGAACTTAAATATAACTGCAGATAGAAAAAATAACAAAAGATAATTGATAGATAGATAAAATGACCACGTACATTTTGCTACATTATGAAAAACTTTATTATTATACGTAGAAAAACTTTATTATCGTCTCGAAAACAAAAAAGCACCAAGCAAGTTATTGAAACAGTTCTTAATGTGCAATTTTAATACCAGCATCAGAAAAAAAGCACTCACATTTTCGATTTCTCATGCCTTTTCTTCTAATGTGAGAACACCTATTCGTTTTTGAGATATATTGGTTGATGAAAAAATTAGGAAATCTATATCTCAAAGTAAAAGGTTTCTCATATTTTCATTCTAACCTCAATATTCTATAGGATCTCGGAAATGACAAATATAAACAAAAAAACATGCAAGCCCAAAAATTTTCGGAAAGTTTTTATCTATTAATATAAATCTAGAACTGCTTACAAAATTTCATTTCTCGAATTTGATAGAAGAAAAATATGCCCTTAAATTTCAAGAATAATTTATGATTGGTGCTTTTTTGATAAAAAATAAACCCAATTTGAGAAATCTGGATCAATATGTAAGTTTTTAATTCCGCTGCGAAATCTGAATATCAAAAACCACTTTCGAAACTAGAAGTCAATCAAGTTTTTTGTGGGGCCTTCACATTTTTTGCTGTTCGATAGTGGAATTTACTTTCCTTTACACAACAGAAATGAACTGAACTTATGAAGAAGTCATGTCAAACCGCGAAAAATCAAAATTGAGAGTGGACTTCTGTTTGAGAATTTTTCCTAAAAAACGCACTAAAAACCACCTGAACATACATAAGTGCTTTTTTATTCTGAAATGTTTGGGACAGATGCAAAGCGGAGCTTCGCACCACTTGCAATCATCATAACATTACAAACCAGTCAAAAGAAAAAAAAGAGACAAAATCTGTTAATTGAAAAAAGTGTGAAGACAAAAAAACTAACTGAAACAAAACTTTCATATGTTGTCGTTTAACTGAAAACGAAATGTCTTGACTTACGTTTGTTTTGAGAAAAAAAAATGCCAAGTCAAACCGTTAAATGTTATACTAGCATCGTAGCAACAGATCCGAAGCAGTAAAAAACCAAAAAAACTTAATCAGACACCCGTTGATGTTTCAGGGACACGGTTACACAAGTTGTAAAACCAGAAAGAAGTAGATGATCCGATTCGATAACGCCTGCTTATCCCGAGCGTTAAAACTTTTTGAGCATCTTGATACAATCTTTACAAAAAATGGTTTCGAAAAACAATTATTTTTACATAGAATTGTTTCAATATCGTCTTAAATCCGCATAACTGTAGTGCTTCAAGGCCAAAATTGGACACTCTTTACTCAATAAAAAATGTTATACAAACCTTGATTGTGAATTGAAATTTTCCTCCCCTGTAATACCCATCGTCTGGCGAAATAAAAACTGCAAAATTCAATAGATCATCTGGATTTGGATGGGAGATGCTGCATGTCGGCGGTAAATCGAGCTCTTTCATGTCTAAACGGGAACTTTTCTACGGCCTAATAATTCTTAAGTTGAAAAGAAAAATCAAAATTCGCAACTTTTCTAACCTTTTTGCATTCTTAGGATTGCAGGTGAAGTTCTCTGAACTTTATCAGACGAATCTGCCGCTGATGGGGCATTATTTGAATCTTTCAGAGAAAATATTTTGATCATATCTCCCTGTAACAAAATATTAAAGAGTTATATTGAGCATTAGGACACATCAAAAACAAATTGAACAGTTCGGTTCTCAGAAATTTGATAAATCTGCTGTGATATATTTCAAAAATGGTTCGAGGTCATGCGGCTAAGACGCGGACAATCACAACAGAGATGTGGACTCGCGGATAGCAGTACGCAACTGTCAGGAACCACACAGATGGTTAATATGAGACTTGTGCAAGATATGGCTCCACACTGATTGCGATGGCGTAGACTCAGATGACGACACAGAAGTAGACTTTTAATGCAACTCATGTGAGAAGCTTGCAGAGGCAGGAAGACGTGTCCTACGTGCAATAAGTCTGTTTGCATTCTGACAAATTGTAAACGACGAGTGCACGGCACAGTCAACTAGAATTGTGAAGGAGACATTTCCGAAACCCTCAAGCGGCACCCGAGCATTCCGACCAGACTAACGGATTTGAGCACTTTGAAGGTATTGACTTCATTTACTCTATTCGACGTTGCAGAGGAAAAGCTCTAAGTTTTGTAACACAAGCTGCACGAATCAAACTTGCTATGTCATTAAACAGAATATTAACAAATAATCTAGCAGACCCGAGTGATTAAGAGTCCGGGGCTAAGCTTTTGTACAATGCCGCATTTCTGCTTTAAAGTCCCTACTAGACTACAGAGTTCTCGGCAAAACGACAATTTAACCCGGCTACTGCAAAGGCAGATGGCAACTTTTGTGGAAAGTTTTTTTCCCTTGTACTCTGGAGACCGTCAGCAACAACGCAACACCGTTCCTCACACTCTCCAGGTTAAGACAAGACTGATGGTTGATAAAGGAGATGTGCGGTTCGCATTGCCTCCGCTGGCGACAGCTTATCATCTCTTCTCAATGCTCTGAAAGCTTAACACCCAGAACTGCCCCTTGACTTGAAATTTCTTTTCTTAGATGCTTCCCTATCACTAAAGTGGCTTCTTAACTTGTTTGCGACTACAAAATGCTTCGCTTCAAGCTCTGCTGCAGATCTTAGTGGGTTACGACATCAGCATCTGAAAGATGCAGTCAAAAACGAGTGAAGCCGGAATGAATTGCAGTAGACTATCACTGCCCTAATGACTCTTCTTCTATTCGGAGAGCTGCCTTTCTTCATGGAACCTGTGGTTGCCGAGAGTCGCTGACCCCCATGTATTAACATAGGCTATAGAGTATCCGGTCAGCACCCTATGTATTAACATAGGCTATAGATTTCCCAATGTATTAAAATAGGGAATAGGTTTCCCAAAGTATTAAGATAGTCGGTTTCAGATGGTAAGATGGTAAGTTTCAGAAAAATTTTTGGCGCCCGAATTTTTTCGAGTTCGATTATGCCGATAATTGCATTTCTTAGCTAACTTCTACGATTTATGACATGTAAGGGCTATCTTGTCTTACAAAAACTTGGTATGGTAAGTTTCAGAAAATTTTTTAAGTTTTACTTGCAAATACATTTTTATCTTGAAAAACATTTTTATAATAAAAAATCGAAAAGAAAATTGATTGGTAAGTTTCAGATGGTAAGTTTCGACAAAATTAAGTTTCGATTTAGAATATTGGATCATAAACTTATATATCACAGAATATTTTTTTCTCTAAAGAATCTATTAAATTATTTAGATTTATATTCCCTCAGGTTATCTGGGGAAAATTGTCAAGAGGGGATTATCTTTGACAGTTAAATATTCCACTTCAAGGGATATCAGGAGAATCTTGACAGCTCCTCGCGGTTGAATATTTTTATATCCCGCTTAATCTTTTATTCCCCAGGTTACCTGGAGAACGGATGACAGGTTCATTATACTTAATAATTTTTTGACCCATTTTATCCTTTTTCACATAATTATCCCACGATTATATGACAGATGCATATTAGCAGTTCCCCACAGAGTTAATGAAGCGTGAATTACTTTCTTGAGAGATTAAAATTTTAAATTTTCATATAAAATTGAAATACATAAATCAAAATTGCATGAATTTTTCATTGGAACTAAGATAAAAATAAGCAAAAAATTTTAAGTTTCGACCACTCAGATGTTTTTTGTCTACTTCTTGTTTTTACCTCAACTAGTTTATTTATTCTGTCATATTTCTTGCTACGATTCATTTCAGTTCTCTTTTATCATTTTGTCTTTAATCTTTAAAAATTTCTTTGAAATTTCCAAAATTTCCGAAAAATTATTATCCAAGTTTGTCAATTGCTCTGTCACGGTAAAAAATTACGCTGAGAAAAATGTAGTATCATAGTTTTTTTGTGTCTGATATTTTTGTATAAAGTTTTTTCCATCTTTCTCAGAGTGATTTTTTAAGAAAATTATACAATTTACTAGAAGTTGTTTACAATTTTCGTAAATTTGACTACTCTATCGTTAATTCTTTCAATTGTAGGACTACAACATCCAAATTCCATCATCATTTGTCGTATTTCATCAAAAGGTTTCTTGTAAGAAGCTTTTTGTTAAAAAAATTAAGGAATTTAAAGAGTTAAATTACATAAATAATCAAACAATTCACTACATCATATAGTGAAACTACTGCGAAATTTACACTTACAAACAAAAATGCGCTTTTACATAAATTACTGATAAAATCAAAACATCATGATTATTATTCAAGGTCTTCTGGAAGAATTTTAAAAAAAGAAATGCTGTTTAAATTGCGTAAAACCCACACAAATTATCAGTCTTTTGTAGCTTTCGAGGAACCATTTGTCGAAACTTTTTTGTCAAAAAGGGGTAAGTTGATCTCTTTCTTCCCAAAGAATCATCAAAGTAGTTGCTTTTATCCAGTCGAGCAAACATAATCCAGTGTTCTCCTCTATCATTGCTTGGGACTGAGTTAATAATTGCAAAAGACTATCAAACGCAAAAGACTTTTAATTGCAAAAGATTTATAGTCTTTTGCTAGTTGTTAGCAAAAATTGAGGTTTTGTTAGTTAAGGTACTGTATCAGAAGGGTATGATCCCATGTACTTGAACCTGAGTTCTGGAATTTTTTCAATATTTGTTAATTTTGTTAGTTGAGGTACTGTATCAGAAGGGTATGATCCCATGTACTTGAACCTAAGATCTGGAATTCTTTCAATAATTTGCAAAAGTGAAAAAATATCCAACTTTGCAATTGTAGGCTGATTTACAGCTAAGAAAATTAATAGTTTGGTAGTGTACTTTAGGATAACAAGAAAAGAAAGAATCATGACTTACACACATTTAGGAATTGATTCAACAAAGTCCCATACACAAGTCTTATGTAGTGGGCAAAGTTTATTGAACACTGTTTTACAGTCTAGGTTGAAGAAGTGTCTCGGGTTTTCAACTAAACAGCATTCGTTCTTTATTTTATCTGGAGCTTTAGGTCTGAAGAAAAACAAAATAGATAGTACAGAGATAATAACAAAGAAAAGTCCCAAAAAAATACAATGTTTTTATAGGAACCTGAAAACTCAAAAAATTAAACATTTTTAGCGACTGTTCCGAAATTGTCAATTTAAACGTTTGATAATCTTTCTCCCAGGACTATTACTTCCGTTACTTGTTCCAAGAGAAATTGGAAAAACATTTCTAATATCAAGCTTTCTCTGTTCAGCTGCATCCTGTAGTGAAGTCAAGTCGAAAACTAGAATATAGTGATTTTGAGTAACTTCCATAAAAAGAGCTGGAAAATCTCCGTTAAACTGCATTGCTTTCATTGTTGTAACATAGGGACGACAAGGAGAAGTTGTATCTAATGAAATAATTGCTCTTCCGCCTCGAATAATTCTAAGCTCTCTCAAATGAAATTGTTGATAATTGAAAAGTTTTTCATGAAAAGATCCCGCAACAGCCAAATTTGTATTCATTGCAACAGCTATCCTTCTGATTGGGGCATAATTGAAAACATTTTCTGAACAAACTGGTTTTGACGAGATGAAATGATAAAGGTTCTTGCTATAGTTTCCATGTAATTGGAATGAGCAAGAGGTTCCCTTTCCAGATTCCATTGCAAATATTGATGATTAGGTTCAGCTACTAAAATTCTTCTTGTAAACAGTGAACAATCGACAATTTTCAGAGTAACATTTGGATTATCAGTCAGCATGTAAGAATTAGGTCTAGCTCGAATTAGTTTATTTCGAACTTTGGTTTTTGGCAGTAATAATTTTTCACAAGTAAACAAGTCAATGGCTAACCTGCCATAAAGTGAAAAAGTTATCCCTGATCCTAAAAAATTTGCTCTATCAGTAAACGGATACATATCAAAAGCTTCCGGATATTCTTCAAAACTATACCCGTGATAAACAAGTATTCCTTTATTACTCACTGCCGACGAGTTGAATTCGTTCGATATTTGTGCTTTATGAGGATATAATCCATTGGCGTTGTAAACCCTTGTATTAATAAAATAAACTTCACAATTCGAGAATAGAGAATGTAGTAGATTGTTTACATTGGACAAGTAAGTTGGTGGTTCCTCGTTTGAATCTTCCTCCGATTTTGCTTTATGTTCGGCTTTTTCTTTTTTAAAAGCTTCAAACAGTCTTCCTTTGAATAATTGAAGCTTTAAACTGAGGTGGGTTGAAGCTTTAAACACGCATATCCAAATAAAGATTACGGTCCGTCTCAAATTCAAATTCAATACTGCTTTCATCAAGAGAGGTACTGGGAAATACTTCTTGTGGGTATGATGAAATTATTGTTTCCAAAACTGGGACTTTATCAAAAGTCTCAAAAGAAGAATTTGAAAACGCTCCGTACCAAAAATGACTACTTTGATTTACACTCATTTTATCTTGTCAAAAATGTCTTTGCAAGAGCGACTGATTTTTGAACTATTTTTTCGAGAAATGGCTCTTCTTGTTCTACGCTTGAATTTCTTTTTTCCACCTCCCAAATGTTTTCGAACTGTTTTTGTTTCAACAACTTTTGCAAATGTTTTGAGTTTTTTGCCGTCCACTGACTACTTCTCCATTATCTGGAGCAGCAGTTTCAAATAAAT